TTTGGAAGTAGATATTTCATAAGAAGCAGGAAATGAACGCAGAGGTTTGGCAGGCATTAGATAACACATTGTGAAGCCTGGGGAGCCATGAAATAGGCTTGACAAAGAAAGTAGCCTTTAATTAATTATAAGAGTCTTAACCTTGAACTCACATTGGGTTTATGATGGTTTGCACTTGAGTTTACAAGAACAGTTTTGGAGAGAACTGTTTTCATAGTGAGTGCATTTTCTCTCTCTCTCCCTTTCTCTGTTTCTCCCTCCCTCCTTCTCCCCCCCCCCTACACTTAAGACAAGAGCAAAAGGCTTTAAGAGATAACTTGGACATCACTCAAGCCTGTTAACCCTACAGAGTGAGTCAACCCAGCCTGGGCGCTGCTGTTCTTGCAAAGGGAAGGCAGCCACGCTGGAGGGCTGGAATGTCCAGTGTTTGTGGGGGCCACTGAGATGCTCTGGTCACCCAGTATGCTGATATGACCAAAATGTAAGGAAGAATTGTTGTGGGGCTTGTTTGACTTCCTGTTCAAGAAGACAGTCTAAAGGAGGCAAAGAGATCTTAGAAGAATAAAGCTGGAGGTATCACTAGAGGTCCAAGATAGAAGGTAAAATGTATCATCTGACTAATTTTCTTCGGTGGGGCGGGTGGTGGAAACATCTCTGATAACTCATGAAAGGCTCTAACTTTAGACTAGGGTTACATCTACAGAAAACCAACTTCTGACAGGTGATATCGAGTCAAAACGTTCCTGCAAACCGTTAGCTCTTCTTCCTTCTCCAGTGAATGGAGAATCCAGAAACCATGCTCAGCAAGGTGGGGCCAGGGTGTGGGGGACGGGGGGGATGTAGAAGTGCAGGGAAGAAAATTGTGGGGAAAATGCTGACCGATCATCTACATCCTCTTCTTTCCTGGCAGGAGAGCAGCTGGCAGTAGCCTCTAAATGGGGAGTGGTTTTGCATGGCGTTTGGTATTGCAATACTCATCACACTGGCACATATTCACACTGGCCTTCATCTATTAAATGGGTGACTGGTAGGCGAGAATGAAGTGAGTTTATAATTACCTCCCTGAGACCATGCTGACTCAAAATATCCATTTTCTCACTTAACCCTCCCCATGAACTTTTCAACTAGGTGCTGTTAGCAGTTACAGTTCACGGATGAGAAGATTAAATTGAGCAAAGTTAAGCAACTTTCCCAAGAAAAAAATTGGCTATGGAGCACGGATCTCAAGTCAGGCTACTTCTTCACAATGCTGAAGCTTTCCTCTGTGTGTGTGTGTGTGTGTGTGTGTGTGTGTGTGTGTGTGAACTTGTAGCTTTCCCTCCTTGGCAGAAATCTGGGATGCATTTTAGCCAAGGGTAGTTAGTTATATAGAACCATAGCTAACTCATAGGACACCATTATTTTAAAAAAGAAAAATATATATTACTTTTACTTCCATCTGTTGGATACTGTTAAAATGTGGTACTTTTTAAGCAACTACTA